TTGTGAGCGCATACAAAACAATAAATAGCGTATCGTTCACGTCTATAACAAGTTGAATGCGCAAGCGATTCCCGCTCAAACTCTGCGCAAGGATATCACCATCCACCGTATGTCCGGCTGTACACAGTTAAGTGTACTTGATTTAGTTGAAGGATGTCACCAAATCTTGAAGAAGGAGGAGAACGTTTTTTTGCAAGCACTGCGGTGCTTCTTTGCATTGTTTTCAACTTTGGACAAACTGAGAACCGTCGTCCTTGGTACGCTCCTATCTCCATCTCATACCCTACAGCCGTCCGTCACGCATTCAGCGCGGCATCCATCGCATCTACAAAATGGTAGGGTGAACGCGAATGCTCTCGGCGCGAGCCACACCTACTCAGATACCATCCGTGAAGATGGTATCCGCGGTCTGTGCTGAACACTGAGTCTAAATCGTGTGCAAATGGCCCAATCTGACTGACGATTGGACAAAATTGGCGTGTATGATCTCCACAGACTGCAGACTTCTACCCTAGGAGTGAAGCTACCATACCCAACAATGTTGCAGGGTAGTGTGCAGGTGAGACGATGTTTAAAACTTTGGATGTGGTAATGAAGAAGCCAGCTTCCACGGCCCGATCGTTATAGTGCCGGGAAAGTAACGTCATGGAAGGAAATGTGTGCGATAAACTAACTCAACACAGCATTCATGAATATCGGCTCTACTAATTGAAGAAACGCACACACGATTGTCGTGGCTCTCCGTCCACCTTGATGGGAATGATAGACTTTCCACCCTGCTTGCTCCATCGGCGCCGTACTAAAATGTGGCTCTTTAAAATAGATTTTGTTATACGGGGCTCATCTCAACTAATCTTTGAGCTTACTAGGTGCGGGGCAGTCAATTCGTTAAGTTCAAGGAAGATGCAGCCCTAATTAAACGAAAGCAACGATCTTTAAGAGGTTACCTAATATGAGCTTTCTTTAGACTCAGTAGCGCCGTGAAGATATTTTGTCGACAAAACTAGCGTATGCAAGATGAAAGGGCTATCAAGTGATTCGATACTCGTAAAGGTGATAGGGATTTTTTTCAATCTGTGATATGAGGATTCATTTGAAGTATGACCTGACTGAAATGCTATGAGCCATGGATCGAATGGAGTCGAACACATTAGCTGATAGGTAGCTCTAGCTTACTGAAGCGTTGGTGCGTTCACATCTGTTAGAAACTGAAGCGCCATGGGCACGGATGTAAAGCTTTCCAGCTTTATCACAGGGCCATGGATTATCCAAATTTAATGCAAAACCCTATGGCCAAGAACCTTGAACAAATTTTGAAAGTTATGGGTGACTGCGAGATACCAGTCCAAGGGCTTTAAGAATGATGTAGGGTATCATATATCGCGGTCTTCAGGAAAATCACTCTGTAGATAGCAAAAATAACTTTGACCAGGATCTGTAGAGACTACACATCGCAGGAAGGGGTAGGACGACGGTACATCCCGACTCTCAGGATCTGCATGGGTTATGGTTGCTTAAGGATGCGGTCTTCATGTAAAGTCCATGTGAGGACAGGCAAATGCGAGCCGCAAAAAGTAGAACCAAGCCCTGATGCTACTTAAATCTTTTTGTGGTCTGATGATGAAACCGGGTCAGCAACACCATATAACGTGTCTACTATGCACAGTATAAAAGCGTCGCACGTTTGTGGATACATTCATGTATTGAGTGATTGGGGTAGTCCATGTGTATTTTTCTCTGCCCTAGCTAGAAGGTTTTATGTATCTTAAAACCCGTCTATAGGGATTCATGTAATTTACCGCAATCTGGTAAAATCATCACATTGGTACGTGGTGTATGGCAACTGGAGCTACACCCACCATCTATCTTGGACGATTTCGTCGTTAAGAACAGTCTAACGAAGTATGTGCGAAGAGAGGATCAGGTATCATTTGAAACACATATGCTTCTTATCCATTGTTGGATGGTATCAACGCGATGACAAGCGACACGACATGAGGGTTGTCGTCAGATCGAAGTGCTCATCATTTGATTGACCTAGGTTTCTAAAACAAATAACTTGCGCTATACTTGTGGTCTTGAACAAAGAGAAAGCAATAATGACACAAACGTTTTCTTTTGCGCTATGCACGAAGTGATATTAGTAAGGAGGGGTGAGTCTCCCCTCTCGGCGCCAGCTTTCTGCGTCGGAAATGCTATGGAAAGAAACAAATTGCGCACGTTTTCAGTTGCAAATCTAATCCAAACGACGTCCCCATAACGGATGTGCAGCAGAGCAGCTTGGTTGGTCGTGCATTGATCAGCGCGCATTTATGATTGGTAGTAGCGATAAACTGTGGCTTGAGGGCAGCGAGATTGCTCTCAATTCCGCTAGTACGCGAAACGGGATACTCCGAGAGAATTGTTTAGTCCTTAATCTGTTTAATGCAGCAGATGTACTTGACTGTCATTACACAGCTGTTAAGATTTATCTGCTGCCCATAACTGGGTTAACACGCTTTGCACCTCCTTGACCCTCCCACCAGTTGGTTTCGTTCGCTGTGGGCGAGAGGTTGTCAACTCTTATATAAATGAAGATACGAGCCTAGTTATATTCGGTAACTTAATCAATAAATCTTAAGATTGAGCTCGATGCGACAAATGCATGGATATATGACCAAAAATCAATTTCAATCAGCATGTAGAATTTAAGAAATACGGAGCCGATACGAGCTTATTATGGGCGATGATATAAAGCCCGTATCTCTGTGCTCCTTTGCAGTGACATTCTTTGTAGTCTATATCGCTTCAAGACCTTGTTGTAGTTTCTTCTTCCCCGTTTTACGCCCGCGCTTCCTTGACCTCTATCTTACATTCAATCTCGTCAGCGAATCGTTCACAATAAACTTCCAGCGAGTTTTTTTGCACTTTGAACACCAATTTAATTCCTTTTCTCTTACTCGCACACCATGATCGTTGCTCTGTCTCTAGATGTGACCCAAGAGCTTAGTTGTCCCTTCTCTTTATTGCCATTTTGGTGTTGCATGCTCTACATTTATAGTTGTCGGATCCGCCCATTAATGGTCGACCATTGTTGAGAGAATTATTTACTGCTAAAGACGACACTTCATTACTGACATCCACACACTTTTGTAACAGTGCGTCGTGTCTGGGTACCATTTTGTCAAGCATGTCTGTAGGCCTAGATGCTAGGGCCGAAGGTGTCAGGAGCAAGTGCCGTGACAGCATTCTTGTGATCCTTAAGACGAGAAAGCATGTCTGGTTCACCAAGTCTCGATTATTCACGTCTGTTTCCCACAAGCCCGATGCGAGCTCTGTACCGTCTGCACCATATGCAAGGGTTCTGACAGAAGCTAATTATGGTGGGGAAATCATCTCGCATGCAGTGCAAATGACAAATCTCTCATGAGTGTCCAACATTCTAAACGCTCGTAAAGTGCACCAACAGCTTTTACGTGCTGTCGTGATAACAATGCAGTGCCCTGTGGCTACTGAACTAGAATTATGCGCCTATCAAAGGTGGAAAAGGCGCGTGACTAATGACGCCAGATTGACGTTGCTTCGTCTGCAAAAAAGATCCGACCCGCCTGAAAGATCGGGAGCGTAGTATCACTTCAGTAAGCCAATGTAAAAGATTAAATGTATGTAGGAAAGTGTATTGCATTATATAAAACATTTTGCCCTACGATATATTCGTTTGTACTCTGTCGGCCTCTGAAATCGGTATTTTGCTTTTGTCTGTCTGGTCTATCAGCCATAGCGTTGCGCAATCAACGCATGACGCTCGATACCGTTGTGATATGATCACGAATTTACATTGAGCAGTTGCTGAGATAATATTATTACGTCGCATTCGATCAGCGGCCCCTACCCCACTAACACCAGAGTCATTTTGCGGCGGCGTCAAAGATACCCGAGGGGTAACAAATCATTTGTGTAACATGGGTAGAACTTGTAGAGGCATATGCTATGTTAGTCAACACAACATCAATGAGAGGGGGATCCAATATGGTGCCGAGCGCTCTAGACAATGCTTTCCAAAACTTGGCTGTAGAGCGCAGAAATCTATCTAAAACAATTGCTGCCAGCAATTTCTCAAGGAAAAACTTGGCTGTGTCCACACCAACCACATCATCGCTGACAGCAGCAAAATGGGCCGTATTATCAAATGTGTCTTTTGGGAAGTCCAAAGATAAAGTCCATATTTATGGACTGCCAACGTTCTGCCGGGACGCGTAGGCTAACGAAAGCGCTGTCGCATTTGCCATGGGCTTTTTATCGCTGACAAGCCTCACGAGGGCGTCATTTGTGCGTACCCAATTCTAGACATGGGGTCGCCAATGCGTAGAGCTTCCCGTCAGTATTGTTTTTGTCTGATGCGCTCACTTAAAGGTATATCATGTGCCTCGTATAAATTTATCGTGCTTGAGGTCTTAATCAAACTACAGGTAGATTGTCACAATGCGGTTACATTGCAAACCTTGTGGTAAAGAGTTATAATGCGGGTGTGTAATTGCGCGCTCTGATTAGCCACACTTTAATACTCAAAACGTCTTCTGCTTTTACAGCTTTTAGCAGCGCGGTACATGTTGCGTCTGACACGTACGCTGTATGCATTGCTTAATCAATTGGTGACAGAACCATTGTGATATGTGACAAATCATAGCCGGTCAACGCTTAAGCGCATCTGCCGCTACATTCAGCCCGTCCAACTTACATTTTACCTCAAAGGTATACGTGGCGAAAAAGAAAACCTTGTTGCCACTTTTGTGTCGGCGTCGTTGTGCGCAACGTTACATGATCTGTGTAGATTGCGAACGTCCTAAGGCCAAACTGTTGTACCCCGAACTTGGTGAGGTCTTATTTGATCACATATAGCTTGCTGTCGTAAACGGAATCGTTCTTCTTAGCGACTTATAGCTGGCGAGACTCAAGTTTATCCGTGCTTTCATGCCCTTGGGCATCTGCGTGAAGTAAAATGAGCCTACTTCTAGGCAAAAAAGGCACAAATGACGGGTCGATGTTTGGAAGAGCCAGAATCAGATCACGTATGAGGCTTCGTTTCACAGCCTACAGACAATTAGTTCTGTAGCACATAACACTGAACCCCGGCTCAAGCGGTTTGTAGCTTGGCCTGGGACCGGGATGTACCTGGTTCGATACCCATAGGATCCGAATCAAGGAGGCCGAAGATAGGTCACTAAAGGGGCATCTCTGTAATGTGACCGCCCTGCCAGCCCGCACCCAATTGGTTGTGTGATAGTTGGGTGGGAGGAAGCCCTACTGACCGAAAAATGAAATAAGGAGTACGTAATCTGGTCCCAAAATGGGTCGAATAGCTATATAATCCTCGCACTACAGAAAGCTTAATCCTAGCGTGTTGGTTCCAGTAGCTTGAATCTTTGTGGCACACAACATCGTTTGACACCATATTAAGGAGACTCGTGAGGGATCACGCAGTCGGGATAGTTCTCACTGTATTTTTATTTTGCAAGTTTTTGACTAGGCCAAGCCCCTCTCCCAAGTCAATTTTGGACGATGGCATTGGACAATATACATCGACCTTTATCGCCACGGGTTCTACCCGCAGATCATATACCCCAATCATGCAATTCAGAAACAGAACTTTGTTGGAGTCTCAAACCATATTTATCTATATTAACGAATCGCTTAATTAATTGCATACACTCAAGTACCAGTCACAGACACTCAATCTGGACCTCCACATCCGACTTCTCGCTCTCAGCATGTCAACGGACGAATAATTTGTCGAAATAGGAAGATGCGTAGCCATGATATGGTCTGACAGCTGTTCCATCAGACGATTGAATGTCGATGGTGCGTAAGATAGTCCCTGATATATTATTAATTTACTCTTAGATTATTCCGGTCGAAGTACGCACCTCAGTGAAAGGGATATTTATATTTGTCATCGGTAGTTGATGCTAATCATCGACCAGATTGAGGGCAATGGGCAAAGCGCAGCTGACTGTGCTGTCTTTTCTAGTCATCGTTGTATGCATCGGAATTTTGAATATATTTGGTTATTAGAAGTATGTGCAATTCGACACTTGTCATTTGCCTTTCTTATAACAAAATTCGATGCCGACTGTAGATTCTTACTTTTTCTCACCAATTTCGGCTCATTCTTTGACGTCATACAGTTATCTTGGTGTAGGTCATCGCTGTGTAACGCAAAATTAGACTCCGAGGGACAAGACAATGAAATAACGCACTCCTCGTTCCGAAGTTACACGCGTGGTAGATCTCTCGTTGCAAAACATGGCAATCATATAGCAAGAGATTGTAAGAACGCACATGATCTTGAGAATAGCCATCGTAATTCTCGTTTCCCGCACTCAGTGGTGAGTAATTATCTAATTTCTCCCCCGGTACCAACCGTACCACTTCGATGACCGTACAGTTCTACGGTATCCATGATACCTTGATACCCCAGGAAATAGTTTTTTTTAATTGTATAATCGCTCCTGTTGGGTAGTGAGGGGATGTATACAACCCCTAGGACCATTCCAGGCAATCAATCCACGAGTGACGGCTTGTTTAACACCAGAACGGCGTAGTTTCAATGGGTGCCGTCCCATCGTGGCAAGGATGAACAATACAGGGCCTAGAATCTTTATTTGCGAGTTACAATCGACATTTATATCCACCTCAAACTACCACCAGGTATTATGACGTCCAATCTCTCCCACTTTCCATTCACCCGAACACAGGAACAAAAAATCACAGCTGATTCTTACCGACTCGCCAAATATACACCCGGGGAACAGTCGGCAATATCCCTCTTAAAAGCAACACAAAATGTAAACCACGATCTGCAATTGCTCTGTCCTGCCTCATTATTAGACCGCAATTCATTGTCGCTCCTGCCTTCCAATTTTAGCCCACCCTCAGCAATGCCATTGCTACCTGTTCTAGATCATCTGATGCCCTGCATAGAAGCTATTATAACTTTGTGCCCGCCAATAGCGCACCTGTTTCTTGCATGGGTAGGTTTATGACTCACCAGAGCTCCACCAGGCGAACAATGTGTGTCACATAACATATTCGACTCTCAGTCGACCCATGACTCATTGCACCCTCGTCATGCCTAGTGTGACGTGATATTTTGTCTCAAACCTAGATCCAGAATTCGACCGCATTTTCCTCTTTCAAAGTGTAAAAATTGCTTAGATATTCCATGGGACTCTTACCACTGAGCCTTTTTTACGACGCATGAATATTGTAGTTTTATTTGGTGGCTTCAACGCCTCGACGTGCAGTCTACTGGTTTCGACAGGCCGCACATCGTGTTTACTTTATAAAGCTCTTTTGTCCATCAGGTCTTTTCACGGTTTTACGATAGCCGAACTGTCGATATCAACAACCAACAATCCTGGGCTGTAAGCCCCACCTCTCTTGAAAAATAGCTGTGCGATAGGCTGTACTAAATTCGACACGTCTTCCGTGGGGCACAAATGTAATTAATTTCTTTTCCAGCAGGCCTTACTGCGCCCATTAAGACTCAACGATAAATCGCAAGGATTCATCGTCCATTATTTCATTTTTCTGCTTTTGTGTCTTTCAGTCAACAGCGCATTAATTGCTCGCGTGGGGGGGCTTGCCTGTTTAATAACGCATGCTATAATCATCTAATGGAATCGTGGAGCTGCTCACAACGTACAGAATTCTCTCCTCTTCAGCAAGACCTAGTTCCATCACCTCTGGCACGCTCATAAAAACTTTCAATTGAAGTATCTAATCCTTTTCCTGGTACGTCATGAATGCGGCAATCGTCGCTTTCTTCGTAGACAAAGGGTAAACCCTAGACGTTCGGTGAAATCGGTGCCCGATCGGAGTCGGTCACTATTTCCGCCTTCTGAAGACGGTCGGGCGCCATTGCAGCGATATGAGCTCTCATTTACTGGCCGTTGTTCACCAGTTTTCCTCTCCCTTAACAGGTGGATAAAAAGTTTGCGCGCATCCTATACGCCTCGTTAGGCTGGTAGGGGAAATTATTCGACTACGAGATGTGTGGGATGCTTCTTTAAAAAAAATATTAGATATTATTCGAAAATAGTATCTAATTAATTATTAAATAAAAATGAATAAATTATGAAAAAATTTAAAAAGCTAAAAAAAACGATAATTATTATTGATAAAAATCTTTTAAATCAGGATAATGTTTTTTCTTAATAAAAATATTAATTTATATAGAAACTATTTTTAAATATCTTATTAAAGGCTGATTCTGATTGTTTAAAATAATGATAGAATTTTCATCATTTTTTTATATTATTTATAAAAAACAAGACCTTAAACAAAATTTACTAAAATTAAAATATATTAATAAATTAACAAGTATATAAATTCCGGAATTATTTCAGACTAAAGACAGAAACCCACATATCGGTTACTTTAAACTTACCCATTGTCACGCCTGATTCACCGAGTTATTGCACGGTGGTGCGCACTTGTGCTCGCTGCTTCCGGGTTGGTAACTACAAACGCGACGTGAGGTCACTCCATTTGAATTCTGACCGTATTCGCGACGACCCGTATCATAAATTTTCTTCGATCCGCCTGTATGCTATATGTTAGCGATCACATTCGGTTTCATCTAACCCTCCATCGATGATCAAAAAGGATGACCCTTGATGTGATCTACTATTGCATTCTCAAGGTTTGTGATGCTTCCAGGTGAGCTTTTACCGCCTTCGACCTATTTGCGGTCAGTTCTGTGATCATTTCGGGATTGACGACATGCATTAACTTCGAGACCAACGGATGGCATGACCGTGTACGCTAGTTCACTTGTCCAGCCGACATACTTGAATATCATATTCGTCCTCGCGAAGGACACATCTTTTTCACGCTTTTTTTATTGTAAGATTGACTGTAAGTGCTTCCAAGTGCGACGAGAATCCTGTGTACTTTGCACGTCGAAAGATTTGTCCTTACAAGTTGGCGTTAAGAAATGCTTCGAATTTGTGTTTGTGCTCTCCAACACAGAGCAAATCCGATTAATCTAACTATCTAGTATTACTATTTGTTTCAGTAAAAACGTTTTTATTTGCTGACATACGACTAATAATCCACGTATGCTGTTGGCCTCCGCAGGTTTAAGACGTGGCAAAGGTTGATACCCTCTCCAAACGAGGTGGCGCCGCTGGTCATACCGGTACCCTCCGAATGTTGGCATCTTCATGAGTATGAACTTTGTATTAATTCGCCAAAGGACTCGGCAGACAACACGGGTGTAGTGGTCATTTTATACCGTTTGAGCACGATGGATCGTCTTGCGCGGTCACCATCGATGGTGGCGGTACAGCGACGCTGTTTGTCGATCGTGTCTTTCGACAACATGGACTTCCGGATTCAATTGTCTCTGGAAAAGACCACGCTTCGCTGGAAAGTTTTGACCGGCGATCTTTACGGAGCTGCTGGCCAAGCTGGATATGGCAATAGCAAACCATCAGCAGACCAATGGTCAGACGAAGCGCGTGAATTGCGACGTCGAGGGCAGCGTCTCCGCTGAGATTCCGAGCCGCTGGAGCGCAATGCTCTGGATAATGCAGTGCTTTCATCTACCGGTCACGCGCCATTTTACGTGTACGGGCCCGTTTTTTCTCGCGTCCTGCTTAAGCTGCCATCCCTTGCTTAAGTCTTTGGTGAGGAAAGAATAGCCTGGAGTCTAGCTGATGTCAGCCTTCTCACTGTTCGTAAAAGGGTCGATAAGTTCCTGTCTACCTGACTGAGTGTCTTATGATGCGTTCGCGCTGCGATGGCTGAAAGCCAAGACATGCAGAAGGAAATGTTGATGGAAGTGGTAGAGGAAATGTTGAAAACATTGATGTCGGAGACCCGTTTTTCTAATGCTTAAAACCTTTCTACCCATGCAGATTCTGCTGTCTTTATGACGAAGCTCTGTCCACAAATATCGGTCCTTTCATAGTTGTGGCTAAGCGGGGCCTTGCGTATACACTAAACCTTTCAAAACGGATGCGCACCCTCCCAGTGTTTGATATGGGCTGGCTCAAGCCGTACCAGCATCCAGCGCAAGTGAACACAAAAGCGTTGGCGCCGGAGGGGCGCCCACAGATGCTCGATTCACTTAGAAGCTGGACTAGCTACTGGTTTTGAGCACGATGAATATTCACAATTACACCAATTTTTATCGGGGATCAGTCGAAAATCACATGAAGACGAGCGTATCATTGACAGGAAAACGATGTAAACCCTACTAAAAATGATCTAGATTGTGACGGGG